TTTTGAGAATGGATCACAGAATTACCTAAAACCATTAAAAAATGTGATGCAATACAGATGAAATGATTCAATGCCATAAACAATTTACATGTAGGCTAACATGTACATGACATACATGTAATGTGCAATGTGTGGAATCTGCTTGGGCAACTACATACACAAGTACATGTATACAATGTAACTTGTGTGTACATGTTAAAGCACACAACAACACACACATGTGACCAGTACAGTATACTCACTACACAGGTATGCCATGGGGAAGTACATGTGTATACATGTACACATAAACTTTGAAGTACATGTATGTGCAACTTCTACATGTAATTGTGTACAGTCCCTTTGTGGGTGTTGTTTCACTTATTGATACGGGTACAACCCCACTGTACAGGAGAATGCCACATCAGACCATCAGTTTCAGGTGGCAAAAATTTTAGGCGGAGTTCAGCAACGGAATGTACATGTACATGTATGTACCCTACTACTCCCAACTCAACTTGTACTCAAGTCAACTCACGCTCATCTTTGTACGTGTATCAGGTAGCAAAGTGATTGTTTTATTTGAGATACTGAAAAATGTTTTAAAAGCATGCATGTTTTTCATTGCATTTTCATTTTGCATTATTTAGGGCGTATGATTAGTCAATCAGTTTTCAAATCAAAAGCATAAAATTAATTCCCCTTTCTGCAATGGACAAACAGAACAACATGTACCGTATATGTAAATGTAGGCGATTTCAGTTAGGTTTGCAGCTGTGAAATTTATCAAGCTTCCCCAAATTTTGAAAACATTCCCCCAAAAGTGTTTCTGAAATGAACAAGATAGCCCTTGTATCACAAATTGTTTCCTTACCTGCGGCCAGGAAAAGGCTTGAATCAAGCTGTCATGAATCTGCATGATCTTAATGTTTATTCAGCAGGCAAGATGTTACATGTACATGGACAAAGTTGTGAAATTGTCAACTTGATCATGCAAAAACTGAATGAAACAGCCTGACGTTTTATGTACATGTATTATGTAAAATGAAGTAAACTTAAGGTTAAAATCATCAATGAAAATTGATTAAAAAGAATACATGTAAAATGAGCTTAGCCGGTCTTAAATGTACACTTAAGGTATGTAAGACCGGCTCAAGAGAATGGATGCAATGCGGCCTGGGCATTATCAGTATTCAATCTCCTGAGCCAGTCTTAAAAGTTACCGGTAGTTTAAAACCGGCCGAGCACATAATCATTTATTCCCATTCATAAATACCTTTTTTAGTCAGACAGTCGAGAGAAGTCAATACATGTATATTGTATAATGGATTTCCAACAATGTTGTTCTAGAATTTTACTTTCAATTTCCCGAACACTCCCGTCCTTTTTATGGTACTGGTACATGTATATTCCTTATATGGACTTGGCAAGCCGTCTACAGACGCTTGACAAATCAGAATAGATTAAACTGTCTTTATCCAGGTGCCAGTGTGAGATTTCTGCAGTGGGCATTATCACTTCTCAGCGAACATTATGAAATGTGAATACATGGTCAAGTTGCAAGTTGTTGAATAGGGAGACTGTCTGAGGTATTTATGAATATTCCATAAACCCAATGATTAAACTAAAATGCTTGTTTACACTACTCTAAAGTATCCACAGAGACGAAAATAAATGACAAAATTGTGTAACTGTTTGTGTAACGTGCATGTACATGTACATGTAACCATCCAGCTCCTGATTCTTCAATAAAATGTGAAGTTTGGAACAATTCTGCTTTTGCAAAGTCACAGTTACTGGTACATGCAGCAGGAATAAAGTTCCAACTGACTTCAGAGCCCAGTAACTTAAGCTATCTGTAGTTACCCAAAGTCCCAAGATGAATGTACTGGGCCGAGTTAACTCTGGCAATGGCTTGACCTGGGTATCAGTTGACTTGGATGCAGAGTTGACCAGGGTGTCAATTTGGGGTATGAGTTGACCCGAGGGTATGAGTTGTCCTGGGTACAGAGTTGACATTAAGAAACCCCATTCTCTGTGTCATAGGTATACATTTGTGGTTGACCTGAGTTACTCAAGGTTTCTCAACACAGGCCAGCAAAAAGGTAAGTTTTTCTGCCATCCCCATCATTTTTTATTTGAATAGGAAATTATCCCACACTTCGTCCTTCTACACTTGGATGTCCTTTTACACTGGGATACACAGCATTGGCACACTACCACTGTGATCTGACAAGTTGCAATGTCCAGCCAGTAACTGCAAGATTGCCTGATTGCTGATGTACATGTACTGCTAACTGAATTGTAGCACGTGCACAAGCAGCCCAATCCCAGGCTCTTTGTGGTAGTCTTGTGACCACACTGTAAATCTGACCTCGTAACCTGATCATGATCCCTAGCCCAGATGCAGTTCATGGTTTTTGTGGGGCAACACATGCTCATAATACAAAACAAAACAGCAAGAAATAAAGATTTGACTTAATGCATTTAAATGTATGATAAAATCATGAAAAACCTTGATGCAAGAGGAACATAAAAATTATGAAAACAATAATTTGGCTAAAAACTGTCGACAAAAAAGGAAAAAATGGGTGCATTTTGCCGGTCCACCCACTCCTGCAATGTAGTTGTGGGGACATACAATCGATATTTCAACAATTTTGTGGGGGCCAAAAATACTCAAAAATGTGATTTCATGAGACATGAGACATTTCAAATTTCCCTAACAAAAGAACTTGTCTCCTGAACGTGGTGAATGCCTGAGAACACGGACCAGATGTCAATACTTACAGTTTTGTAATATTTTGATTTCCAATCTAAGTCACAATTCGCCACTAGGCCTATGTTGCACTTATAATTTCAAAAGTAAAACTGATGTAGGGCCTACATACAATAGCCACATTAAAGACAATGGAAAATGATTAGAGAATCATTTTGTAACTGATCTAACAGTGTGTGACTTAAAATGTACATGTGGGCCTGATGTTAAAAGTTTCAACATGTTCAATAGCATGGACATCGTATACATTGCATTGTGACCAAAGATTGTATAGCAAGGTAACGTAAGTTCACCCCGAATACGTGTAAAATGTTGAAATCGCATGGGCACCATTTGGGTAAGAATACACTATGTTAAAGCAACAGGTGCAGGCACCACGACAGGCAAATATGCCTGCGCCTATGCATTCACGTTCACACTCGAATGGCACCCATGGCGATAACACTACGTGGTACTGGCACAATACGATCTTTGATTGTGACTAACAGTGTATTGTGGGTGGTCCTGTTTTCATGTCCTTACCTTCTGCATTACGCAGTATGATGTACACAACTTCAAGTGATGTAAATAGCTTCAGACTTACTGAAGATCTTCTCTTATCCCCGTTGACTGAGAAATGTGAAGGCTTTAGCAGTAAGTTACTCTTGTAAATATATAGAGTTTATGTATTTAGGGCAAGTTTACAAGATAGAAAAACATTCTACATTGAGGGCAATTAATATTCATTACAGTGTTTAAGATAACAATGTTTCAAAATCACTGCTCATGTACATGTATGACTGAAGTCACGTGACTCCACTGACAACTGAGCATGCAGGAGAGGTACAGACACTTCGAAAAGACAAATGTATTCCTAAATATCATTTTCTCACTATCTGGGAAATAGTTTTGCCCTCACATTATGATTTGGAGGGATGAGTTGGCATGTTGCAAAAGCTTATTTTTTTCCATGAAAATTATCAGTTCCTGCATGCATATTAAACATCAAAATTAATACATTTTATGTTTTTTAGAAAGGTAATTCAATGTAAGTTTTTTCTTTCAATCCATTCTTTCAACAAATATTAAGGTAAAAGTGATTGTGTGGGGGTTTTACACTTAAGGCCTGCAAAATAAAAAATACACTAATATGGATCGATATTTTCACAAAAATACTTGTAGATTATTATAAATATTCATTAGGCCCTAGATATTACAACCAACATGCGACATCCAACAGCAAAATACCACTACATGTTACTTTCTCATCTTGCAGAACATGTGCACAAGCCCGTGCTGTGGTCTAGGGCATGTGCCTACAGGAATTATTCACCATCAATGCTTACATAAGCATTTTGGTGTGATGTTGACGTGAATGAACCAAAGAGGCCTTGTGTGATTTCTCCACTTCAACTTGATCCAAGTCATGCTCATGCACCAGAACACAACATCGCTTCGGAGTACCACCAACACCGATGATGATGATAGCGACTCAGATATTGATGACAGGGATAAGTGCTGTGTCTTCCACTGATTTTGACCAACTGAACTTGCAATCTCCATCTACATGTATTTAACACCATGGGGCCAGTGTGTGTTTGAAAACTGCTTGCATTGGACACACATTAAGTACTGAATTGCAGCGTTACCCCTCTCCTGACAAGGGATACATTTTATAGTCAGACTCACACCTTGTCACAGTCTCTGAAGCTTCCAACCCACAGAGGAGTAAATTTTATCAAAGCAGGATATTTCTTTTTTCAGGAGATTTCCCGGGGAAAATATAAGCCATTTGTTTGTTTGTTTGTTTGTTTTTTCAAATTAAAGAAAAAGTCTTAGTCCGTCAAAAACCAGTCTCTGGTGGATAACTATTTTTAACTTCAGACAACATCCAACCTGGGCTAGGCTAGTATTAGTAGTTTGTTGTGCACAAAAGTGTCAACTTCACAATCACAGTAAAGTGATGTCTGTGTGTGGAACTCTTGCCAAAAATTCGACACGTTTGGTACACCAGGCAAGACAACATATTACTATTGTTGGCCTTTCATTCTTAATCTTAGTTACCGGTATACATGTATGTAGCCCATAACAGTCTTAGCAAGTTCAATAGCAGCTATCGCTTATTCGGAATTCCATGAACTGATGAAGGTCAGGCTAACGTTTAACCTTTACTGGCAATTACACGTAGGCCTAGGCATACAGTACATGTACTGTACATGTATACTTATGTACGACTACGACTTACGAGTACGCTACTGCTCACCTTGTTGGATCCGTCCTGCAAGCCGATATCACTTCTTTAGGACATAGGTCAGATCTGAGTCATTTGCAAATACAGAGGGATCTCTGTCAGTTTTCATGCATATCACAGGGATATCGTCGACGTTTGCATCGCAAGCACTAGCCCCCTGACGGTATTCTTTCTGCTAGCTTTTCGGTCCTACTTCGTCGCGTCCGTCACGCATGTCTTCGTCTTCGCGTTGTTGCTCGTTTGGCTACAGTGCAAATGATGTGACGTGCATCGACGCGACCCGGTCGTACATTTTGTACACGAGTCTTGCTTACACAATACACGGCCACTTCAGGGCTATGACTTTAATATCGCCTTGCAAAAGCTACAGTGAACAGCTTCAGCCATAAACAATAATCTCTGATGTGGCTGTGGAATTAGAGTAGTTCCAAGTCCCTCTGCCACAGTTTTAAAACTTCACATTGTGGTCAATAAAGTCCATTACGAAATCTTCTTTACCACTACCTCATTAACTAAAGGGAACAAGACTAATTCTTATTTGAGAGGAGTACAACTTGATATTGATGCAGTTAATGCATTTCTCGCAACCAGAGCTTGTTTATGACGAATGCAAGTGTTACATGTATCATGTTATCGAGTAGTGAGAAAGGTCAAACATTTATGTAAATAGTTTTTTAGAGATAATGTTTAATCTTGCATCAAAGAT